ATTAATACGAATAAAGGTTCGTTTATTACAATAATAAATACGAAAAACCACAGCCACATGTTGGCTTGTTGGTCACCTACTCTAACATAATGGTGTCTGGGATCTTGTCGAATTGCCTAATAACAGTAAGAAAGTCGGTTGTAGATGGGTCTTCAAGACCAAACGTGACTCTAAAGGCAATATCAAAAGATTTAAAGCTAGACTAGTATCCAAAGGTTTCACTCAAAAGGAAGGCATTGATTATAGAGAAACTTTCTCTTAGAATCGTTATGGCTCTTGTAGCTCATTATGATTTGGAGTTGCACCAAATGGACGTGAAAACCGCTTTTCTGAATGGGGATTTAGATGAAGATATCTATATGGACCAGCCTGAAGGATTTGCAAAACAAGGAAAGGAACACTTGGCTTGTAAATTAAAGAAATCCATATATGGACTTAAACAAGCTTCTAGACAATGGTATATAAAATTCAATGATACCATTACTTCCTTTGGATTTAAGGAAAACACTGTTGAGCAGTGTATATATCTAAAGGTTAGTGGGAGCAAGTTTATCTTTTTAGTCTTGTATGTGGATGATATTTTATTAGCAAGTAGTGATCTTGGTTTGCTTCACGAAACTAAGAATTATCTTTCCAAGAATTTTAAGATGGTTGATATGGGTGAGGAAAATTATGTCATTGGGATAGAGATCTTTAGAGATCGATCTCGAGGATTGTTAGGCTTGTCTCAGAAAGGATATATCAATCGAGTTCTTGAAAGATTTAATATGCAGTTTTGTTCAACCATTAATGCTCCATCATGAAAGGTGATAAATTAAATGAAAAGCAATGTCCAAAGAATGACTTGGAAAAGGAGAAAATGAAGTTGATTCCATATGCATCAGCAGTTGGAAGTCTGATGTATGCACAGACTTGTACTAGACCAGATATTAGTTATGCAGTTGGAGTACTTGGTAGATATCAAAGTAATCCGGGAATAGATCATTGGAAAGCAGCAAATAAGGTTATGATGTATCTTCAAGGAACAAAGGATTACATGCTTACTTATAGGAGATCGGACCAATTGGAGGTTATTGGTTATTCAGACTCATATTTTGCTGGTTGTGTAGATAGTAGAAAGTCCACATCGGGCTTTGTATTTCTACTAGCTGGTGGAGCAATCTCTTGGAAGAGTGTAAAGCAAAGTATTATTGCTTCTTCCACAATGGAGGCTGAGTTTGTAGCATGTTTTGAGGCCTCGAGTCATGCACTATGGTTGCGAAATTTTATCTTAGGGCTTAAGGCTGTTGACTCAATTGCTAAGCCTTTGAAGATATATTGTGATAACACCGCAGCCGTTTTCTTCTCTAAGAATGGAAAGTATTCAAGTGGATCCAAACACATGGATCTTAAGTACTTGGTTGTTAAAGAAAGAGTCCAGAAACAACAAGTGTCAATAGAAAATTTAAGTACAACTCTTATGGTTGCTGATCCATTAACCAAGGGATTGCCTATAAAGACATATGAGGAACATGTTATTAGAATGGGTCTTTTGAGAAATCCATGATTTGATGAGTTATGATTATGTAATTGACACTTAATTTATTTAATGAAATGTTTCTGTTTTCCTGTTTCCAATTATGTGTACACATATTATATTTGAAGTTAATTTAACAGGATTTGTCCTAACAAGACAAAATTAAAGGGGCTATTATGGATTAGAATAGTAAGGGTTATTAGTGGCGTAATACATAGAAGAGAATATGATGAATGAATCATATGACCGCTATGATTCACATTAATAACTCAAACTAGTTCTAGTATTAAAGTACTCTATTTACCTATTATGGTAATCACCTTAATTTTCTTTTTAAAATCGTGATCACGTGTCAAATGTTTTGTATGAAGAACCCACCGAGTCAAATATTTTTTTAAACTTATGTTTCTTAAATCGATTCAGTGGACCAAGTGGGAGAATGTTAGTTTACGTTTTTTAAAAACGTTTTATTTTTGGTCCACTAATCTTTATTTAAATTAATTAAATTGTGGGTAATTCAATTATGGTATTAAGGTGATTTTATATGGTAATTGATTTGTAACGTTGAAGGCAATAAAAGACCATGATGGGTGGGATTTGTATTCTGCCGTTACAAATCAATCGTGGCCCTCTTCTCTCGTCTATAAAAGAAATCCACAGCTCTTCTCCTCAACCATGAGACACAATTGAGAATTCCATCAATTACAGAACACTTAGTGAGTTGTGATATTAGAGAGATAGAGAGAAGAAGGTGTGCTATGAATGAAGTTCTCAAGGAGAATCGAAGGAGGCCTGGCTAGGCTCAGCTTGTAGATTACTATCGTTCATCATCTCTATCGAAATCCATGGCGAACGGTATGTTGATAATCCTAATTACGTGATTATATTCTTAAGATGAATTTGATTTCAAGATTCTGTGATTAAGGTTTTCCGCATAAAATTAAATAAAAGTCTTTCATGCATTTCAAGGCAGAGAGAGGGGGATAAGAAGAAGGAGGTGGCTATGAGAGAAAGGGGGCCGGCCGAGACAGAGAGGTGAGGGAGAAAAACACACACACCTCCTACACACACAAGCACAAATATAAACAGATATACACAAATACTTGAGGAGTCCAAATGGGCCTCATCACTTCATATGCATATACTTCTCTTTCATACCATCTTTTCTTTTTCGTAGGTAGATTGATTGCGTTAACCGAGAAACATCATTGAAGAAAACCTGTTTTACACCTTATAATCCTCCTTATTTTGCTGATTCACATCGTGTGCCTCCTCATCTATTTATTTTGGATGTTCTTGATTATGATTCGTGATAGCTTTCTTTGGAATTGCATCACTTTTTATTCCTTTTGCATGTGGTTGGTGTATTGATCGATGGCCATCTCATTCATTATATTTGCACATTTCAGTAAAAAGGGATTGCAAGATGAGAACCATATTTCTTTTTCCATGTTCCTTTTTAGTTTTGCATTTTCATTTGTATATAGTCATTGGCTGGAATTTGTGCCTATGTTTTCATTCATTCTTCTTATGCGGGCGGGTCATTGAGTTTCAGTCCATTTGGAATGATGGAATGCGTTGAATTTTACAAATTTCTAATGTTATTTGATGGTATTTTTCGTTAGGGGCAAAAAATACAAATATGCTGACGAGAATTTCAATTTTCTTATTTCTTTGGATGGTGTGAAAAATGTGACAGCTAGAGAATACATGTAGTTTATCGCATTTTCTTCTTTTGTACTTTATCTAATGGAGTGGTTCTACATTTTATTTTATTATTGTTTGATATAATAATTATCTTGATTGTATCATAAAAATATACCAACACAAGTACGACGTGTAGGTGGATTGACTCATCAAAAAATCTCATCCAAATAATGTGTTAGACAAATTTAAGATGGTCCATAATAGTATGCTATTGGTAGAATTTGGAATGAAATTTTTTAATTGTGCCGACTTTTAATCTGAAAAACCCTAATTTCGAACCCTTTTCCAAAAGTAATGGAGTGGGAAGAAATGCTAGTTATGATTAATATTAATATTGTGATTATGATTATAATTCGGATTAACATTAACATCAAGATAGTATTCAGATTAGCATTAATATTAACAAATCAACATTTCCATTAGGATTATGATTAATATATTAGGATTAGCATTAGTATATAACGATTAATATTAGTATTAGTATTATCATTCACATTAACATTAGCATATAACAATTAGCATTAGCATTAATAAATTATGATCAATATTAACATTAGTATTGGCATTCGCATTAGTTTTAAGATTATCATCAGCATTAGCATTAGTATTAGGATTATGATTATGATTCTGATAAGAATTAGAATTAGTATTAATATTCTAATTATGATTAGGATTACGTTTAGTCTTAGGATTAAGATTAGTTTAGTATTAGCATTAGTGTTAAGATTGGTATTAACATTAGCATTACAATTAGGAGCATCATTAATATTAATAATAACATTAATATTCGCATTAGTATATTAGGATTAGCATTAGTATATTAGGGTAAATATATTAGGATGGCCGAGGAGTTAGACATCCCATAATGACGCGCTCGTCATCCCGGTGCATAACGCGGGGTATGATTATATCCCGAGTCTTTCTGGATACAGAATGCTCTGTCGACATCATATACGCCAACTGTTAGAGAAAATGAAGCTCGGAGTAAGAGTCACTCCCATCGAAACCCCCATCTACGGGTTTACGAGAGAAGCAGTGGAAGCCATTGTAAAATTTCAGCGTCCCTCCCCGTCCCTAGTCTCTTTGTCCTTTGAGACCGGTTTCAGATTTGTACATAAGCTTTGGGATATCTAAAGATTAGTTGCTCGGCACTGCGGTGGGAGCCACCGATTAGTTACGGGTGGTTTTACGACAGTGGATGGCGTGACGTTGCCGACGAAGTGCCGATGGCTAAGAAAAAAATATTGCACTAGAATATGTTTCAGAAGGGTTTGCAATTGTCTATTATGGGTGAAAGTTGTGAATTGTGATGATTAAATATGTTTTGTGGAATTCGATCTGGTATTGGAAAAAAAAAATACTGAAGAAGGTTATTTTACAAAAAGTCAATTTAATCACAGTATGTTTATGGAAACCAACAATAGAGATTTTCAAATTCTTTATTTTCATTTGCTCTTACATTTTAATTTTCCTCATTTCAAAATTCACAAATCATATTGGAGATATTAATATTAAATGATACATTTCACTAACAACTTAAACTTTTGGTTGAGATAGTCAATCAACATGGTACAGAGCCAGACCTAATGAAACGTCCTGAGTTCGAATTATTCCACAGCCACCCATTTTTTATCGGGCATGTTTCCACATGCACAAATATTGTTGAAATTAGTTATTCCCTTAATTTATTTTTTCTTAATTACGACCAGGTTCTTCCGATTTTTACCCCTGTAACACCTAAATATTTTACAGGTAAAAGTAATTATGATATCACAATAATCAAGTTTAACTTGCTGGGAAATATAAATAATTAACAACTTAGCAAATATTGATACATAATTTCTTTTTCTTTTTTTTTTTTTTAATTTGCAGAGAAAGAAGTAAGAACGGGTGGCGGCTGTATTTTATCCCGACGAAGCCCAGAATCCCATTCTCAGAAGACACTCAAGTTAAAGTTCATTCACTCAACACACCGCCGCCTCCACAATCTTCGGCGGCGGCGGCGGCGGCCGCTCCTGTATTTTCAGTTCAATACTCGACGGCTAGTATGAAACATGACGTCTCGTTTTCTCTTTACTGACGTAATGGGATGCGACTTTGTCACTATGCAAATGCGGAGCCCACCCCGAATCGTCGTCGAAGGCATTTTGTCAACTTTCTGTGGAGTGCACAGAAGGTGTTCGACGTTTTACCCCACAAAGAACCATCTCTTATATTCCCTTGGCTTCCGGTCTTCGTTTTCCACTGCTGCTCTCATCACTACGAAAGAGCCCAATTGGGGTTTTGATTCTAGAAGAAACCCAGAAAAGGTACGACCTTGGCACGAATTAAAAGAAGCACAAAGTTGTCATTTACAGGTTCCGGCCGATAGGGGAACGGAAAGGAGTGGTTTGGAAAGTGTTAATGAAAAAAATAGGCTTAAATGGTATTCCAAAATGCTAAGAGATTGTGCGGCTGGAATGCGTTTAAACGAAGGTAAAATGATTCACGGATGTATCATACGAAGTGGTTCTGAGCCTGATTTGCATCTATGGGTTTCTTTGATTAATTTCTATGCCAAATGTGGGGCTTTAGATTTTTCGCGCAATGTGTTTGAGCTAATGTCAATGAAAGACGTGGTTTCGTGGACCGCTCTGATATCGGGTTTTGTAGCTCAAGGGCATGGAATGGAAAGCATTGAGTTGTTTTGTCAGATGAGGAGGGAGGATGTGAGGCCGAACGAGTTCACCTTGTCTACTGTTTTGAAGGGTTGTTCAGTGTCGTTGGACTTGAATTTTGGGAAACAAATTCATGCAGAGGCTGTTAAGATTGGCGTTCTTTCCGACGTTTACATTGGTTCCTCTTTGATTGACCTTTACTCCAAGAGTGGGGAAATGGAGTATGCGGATGGTGTTTTTCGTATGATGCCAGAGAAAAATAATGTCTTGTGGAATGCTTTGCTTAATGGCTATGCGCAGGTGGGAAATGGGAAGGCAGTGTTACGATTGTTCAACGAAATGGAAGACCCGGAAATGAGGTTTAGTAATTACACATTGTCGATTGTTTTAAAGGGAATTGCCAGCTTTGGTGCATTTATAGCTGGTCAGGGAGTCCATTCAATAGCAATCAAGGTTGGGGGTGAAACTGATGATTTTGTGAGGTGTAGCCTGGTTAATATGTACTCAAAATGTGGAGTTGCCAATTATGCCCTTAAAGTGTTCGAGACGATGGAGAATCCTGATATAGTTACATGGAGTTCGATTATATGCGCACTTGATCAAGAAGGTCTAAAGGAAGAAGCAGCAAAATTGTTCCACCGAATGATGCGTTCTGGTATGAGGCCTAATGAGTTTACTCTTTCCACTCTCGTTAGTGCTGCCACTGATTTGGGTGACCTCCGTTATGGTCAAAGCGTCCATGCATGCGCTCATAAATTTGGGTTGGAGTTTGATCATTTGGTGAATAATGCATTAATTGCAATGTACATGAAGCTTGGATCAATTTACGACGGGTATCGTATCTTCAACAAAATGGCCAATTGGGATGTGATTTCTTGGAATGCCCTTTTATCCGGATTTCACGATGATGAAACTTCCGATCAAGTAACCAGGGTTTTCAAGCAGATGCTTACAGATGGTTTTACGCCCAACATGTACACATTTATTAGCATTCTTAGGTCATGTTCAAGCCTCTCGAATATTGAGTTTGGGAAGCAGGTACATTCACATGTAATTAAAAACAAATTCGTAGGTGATGGTTATGTTGGAACTGCTCTGATTGACATGTATGCAAAGTGCGGTTGCATGGAGGATGTGGAAGCTATTTTTAGTAGATTAAATGAGAAAGATGTCTTCGCTTGGACAGTTATCATTTCAGGTTATTCACAGACTAATCAAGGCGAAAAGGCTGCTCGTTTATTCAACCAGATGCGAAGAGAAGGTGTTATCCCTAACGAGTTCACTCTTGCTAGTAGTTTGAGGGGTTGCTCTGCGATCGCAAGCCTTGAGAATGGTCGACAATTGCATTCCTTGGCAATTAAGGCTGGACAATCTACCGACATGTTTGTATCAAGTGCACTGATTGACATGTACGCAAAATGTGGACATATTGACGATGCCGAAGCTCTGTTTAACGGCATGCAATCGAACGATACAGTTCTGTGGAACACAATCATATGCGGATATTCCCAACATGGAGAGGGTGATAAGGCTCTTAAAGCGTTTAGGCAAATGATAAACGAAGGGTTCTTACCTGATGGGGTTACTTTCCTAGGGATCCTTTCTGCGTGCAGCCACATGGGATTGGTCGAAGAAGGAAAGAAGCATTTTTACTCAATGAGTGAATCTTATGGAATCACGCCAAGTATTGAGCACTATGCTTGTTTGGTTGATGTTCTTGGTCGAGCAGGGAAATTCGACGAGATTGAGAGACTTATCGAGAATATGGAGCTAACTCCAAATGCTTTGATTTGGGAGAATGTACTCGGCACATGCAAAGTCCATGGAAATGTGGAATTGGGTGAAAGAGCTGCCGAGAAACTCTTCCAAATTGACCCCGAAACAGATTCGAACTATATTTTATTATCTAATATCTATGCTAGTAAAGGGAGGTGGAATGATGTTTCTAGGGTTAGGAAATCGATGTCGAGTCAGGGTATCAAAAAAGAACCTGGGTGCAGTTGGCTTGAGATTGATGCTCAAATTCACGTTTTCTTGTCTCAAGATTCGTCGCACCCAAGGCTACTGGATATTCATAGGAAAATGGAGGAGTTGAGGGAGAGAGTTAGTGAAGTAGGGTACATACCGAACACAAAGTATGTGCCACATAATGTGACGGAGAAGGAAAAACGAGAGAATCTTTTTAACCACAGTGAGAGGTTGGCTTTAGGTTTTGCTCTGATAAGTAAGGTTAACGGTGGAAGAATTAGAATTTTCAAGAACCTTCGCATATGTGGAGACTGTCATGAATTTATCAAGTGTGTGTCGAGCACTGTGGATCAAGAGATTGTAGTTCGTGATGCGAGCCGCTTCCACCACTTTCGTAATGGCATTTGTTCGTGTAAAGACTATTGGTAATTTATGTTCGTGAAAATATTCGATACCTGTTAACATCGTTTGCAGATATAAAATTTAGGCCAAAGCAATTGGGTCGGTTTTAGAGAATATCAGTTTTCCCTGCTTGCCAGTTCGTTTTGTATGCGATATAATGTATAGATTGATGCTCGTGTTCACCAGCTCAAAGGCACCAGCTCCAGGTAAATAAAATTTTTCGGAGCGTAATGGGAATTTGAAATTCAATAATTATGTGAGAATAAATAGTTAGCGCTGATGTCAATTTCTTGATTTATTTAGTCCGATCACTAAATAAAACCCTGGTACATTTATTAAGCTAATTTTGCGGAATATAAGAACACAAAACGACATTTTTTGCATAACCAAGAATTAGTGATATTCCAACCATATAGTTGATAATCCATTGAAATACTTCAAGAAAAAAATTAATTGTTATTATTAATTTCTTTTCCTTTTATAGGTGCCTGAGAAGTGAAGCAACAATTATTTCTAGTCACGAACCCTTTTTTTCCGGAAAATCCGATTCTCTTGTGTAAGTCTTACCTTTACTGACATTTTAAATTCACATGTTTAATTTTAATATTGGAGTGAGAATCTAGGCTGGGCTCAACTTATGTTTACGTTTTGTCTGATGCGAAAACTTTCGATGTTTGCTTAGGTCTTAGAAAATGTTTGCTGTGAAGCAATGTGTAGCTCAGTGGAAGTTCTGGGATGTCTATGCTTTATGCCCTCAAACTTGTAATGGGTTATGTAAATATCTCATCAACAATTAATATAAATTTATTCGATTGTGTTAGTTCGATTTAAAATTGGAGTCTTCAAATTTCACGAGAATGCATAATGTAGGACAAAAATGGCAACACCAACGAAAGTTTTAGTAGGTCTGTGGATCGCCCTTTCGATATGCCGCTTGCATCCTTGTAAATAATTGGTTATCATGTCATTGTGGACCGGAAATTGTTTGAATACTAGTGGACCGACGTGGATATATAACATCTGTTGTATATCCTTGGCTTGTATTATGTACCGTTCGTTATGTGTAAATGGAATGCGGGTTGTAATAGTAATAGAGATTGTATAAAGAATGTGTGGTAATTGTGTAAGAATTGGGGACTCTACATATATAAAGAAAATGAATGAATAATGGACAACAATTGGATGGACCAGATTGAACATAGAAAAACCAACCTAATGGATTATATTTGGATTGGATTATATTTGGATAAGAAGATAAAGATGCAGATAAAAATATAATGATGAGACTAATTGAAAAATCTTGTCCAATTAATGTTATTACAATACATTTTTTTACATTTAAAAAAAAAAAAAACTTTTTGCTTCAGTTGTATATTGAAAAAGGAGAAATTAAGATGAAACTTTTTTTTAGAAACTCTAAAATGCTATTGTTCTCTAATGGCATTTCAATGGAGTCTCTAAACTCCATTAGTTGACTACTTAATATAGAAATTCTACCAAAACCAGCCAATACCAACTAGGGCCTTAGTGGGTATATAAAACTAGAGACTTTGGCAATAGTTCTAAATTTCTTCCTAAGGATATCTCCAATGGAGCAAGCATATCGGGTTTTTAAATTCTGTTTTGGAGACCTACATGGACACTCGATAGAATTTTAGAGTTTTAAAAAAAAATCCACAATACAGGGATATATAATTTTGCGTCCCTAAATCATGTTACGGATTATTTCATATAGTATTTTGATTAGGGCTAAAATGTTATTCATATACGAGATTGTAGACAATTAAATGTTATTTGAACAATCTTAATTATTTTTAATATCTATTTTGATCCAAAAAATAAAAATTTCTTAAAAGATATGAAATGATGAACTACAACCGTTAGATATGGTTTTAATTGATCTTATCTGTTAGGTTTTTATCTAAGGGCATATTACAAATAAGCCCATCAGTGGGAACTTATTCATAAAGAGATCCAGACAATATTCTCATTTACCAATAAGTCCACACATGGTCCAGATTTATGTAAAGGACTAAAATAACCCCTCTTACTTTTATATGCTCCAATTTCATCCTTAACTTAGTTTAACTTCAATTTGGCCCCAAATTTTCCAAATTTTTTAATTTTGGCCCAAAACTTTTTTTTTTTCCAAAATTTTTTTTTTTAAAAACTTTTTTTTTTCCCCGGATTTCGGGGTTGACCGGGGGTTAACGCCGGTTTTCGGGGTTGACTTTTTTTTTTTTTTTTTTTTTTTTTTTTTTTCTTCCGGATTTTTTTTTTCCGGATTCCGGCGTTGACCGGCGGTCAACGCCGGTTTCCGGGGTTGACTTTTAATTTTTATTTTTATTTTTATTTTTTTTATTTTTTCTTCCGGATTTTTTTTTTCCGGATTCCGGCGTTGAATTTTAATTTTTTTTTTTTTTTTTTTTTTTTTTTTTTTTTTTCTTCCGGATTTTTTTTCCGGATTCCGGCGTTGACCGGCGGTAAACACCGGTCTCCGGCGTTGACCGGCGGTAAACACCGGTCTCCGGCGTTGACTTTTTTTTATTTTTTTATTTTATTTTTTTTTTAATTTTTTTTTCTGTAACTTTTTTTTCCGTTTAAACAACAATATTGCTTTGAATGACAGTAATATTAACTATATTACTGTTAAACACAGTAAAAATAACTAAACTATAGTTTAACACAGTGATATTGCTATATTAATCTCTAGCACATTAATATTAACACAACAAAATTCATTATTATTGTATAATAAAGTAATATTACTATGTTGTCCGTTCAACAAATGTAAACAAAATAAAAAAAACCAAAAGAATTAATATTACTGTGAGTGACAGTAATATTACTATAGCAACAGTAATATTACTATAGCAACAGTAATATTACAATAGTAGACAGTAATATTATTACGTTACTCCGTGAATAACTCAAACAAACAAAATATCCAAACAAAAGAATAATATTGATGTGGTTGACAGGAATATTACTATAACAAACAGTAATATTACCGTCAACCACAGTAATATTATTGTGTTTACAGTAATATTACAATAATAGACAGTAATATTAATACAAACACCACAAAAAAATAATAATATTGATGTTGTTGACAGTAATATTATTGTGTTTACAGTTATTTTACTGTCAACGACAGTAATATAATTACGTTGACTTGTCAACAAATCAAAAAAAAATAAAAAAAAATAATAATAAATAAAAAAATATAATATTGCATTAATTTACTGTCAACGGCAACACAATTACATAAATGTAATGTCAACGGCAGTACAATTACGTTAATTAACTATCATTGACAGTATAATTACGTTAATTTACTGTCAGTGACAGCACAATTACGGTCAACGTTTAGCGGCGGACGTGGAAAAACAAAACAAACCAAACAAAACAAAACAAAAAACTTAAAAAAACACTAAAAAAAGAGACCGCCGGAAACCGGCGAAAAAATCCGGAAGACAAGAACCGACCCCACCCCAGAAAAAAGCACACACCACCCCCCCCCACCACAACCGGTCAACGCCGGAGACCGGCGTTGACCGCCGGAAAGAAAAAAAAAAAAAAAAAAAAAAAAAATTTAAAAAAGTCAACGCCGGAATCCGGCGGCAAAAAAAAAGTTTTTGAAAAAAAAAATATTTTTTGAAAAAAAAAAATTTTTGGGTCAAAATTTAATAATTTGTGAAATTTGGGGTCAAATTGAGATTAAATTAAGTTAAGGATGAAATTGGAGCATATTAAATTATACTCCAAAAAAAAGTCAAAATTGAATTTTTGTGGTCAAAATTGAATTTTTGTGGTCAAAATTGAACTTTTATGGACAAAATTGATTAATTTGGATTACAATTAAGAATTGGGTATAAATGGTTGAGGGTAATATTGGGATATACATGAATGTTTCCTTTAGTTATAATAAATATTAAAGGGATGGGCTTATTGGTAAAAGAGATATGTCCCCTAAACCTAGAATAATAAACATGCTTGGTTGGGGACTTTTGCATAAAAATCCCTTTATCTAATCATCTTATCCACATCTTCATCATCTTATTCACATTTTCATCATTTTATCCAACTATAATCCATTAGATTGGATTTTCACGCTCAATCTCGCTCATCCAATTCTTATCTATAATCTATTCATTTTCTTATATAATGCTACTTTCCAACCCTTACAGAATCACCACACATTTTTTATATACAATCTAGTTACATATTTATCGAAAAATAAATAAAATTAGCACAACAAGAAAGCGATAACTCCTCTTACGACGACGGCAATCAAGGCCACGCCATCATGACGACGATGTACGTAGAATACCAATAACATGTTCGCTTCACAGGGGAAGTGCAAAACACAACATGGAGGAACATCATCACGCCGGAATTCAGTAAGATGGGACCAAATAGGTGCGCACGACTTACTTATGAATGATACTTTGTTGATCGTCTTTTATATGCTCCTCGTGATTTTCGAAATAGAAATCATATGAGGCGTGAATTATTTTTACGAATTATGAATGATATCATGCATTTTGACTATTACTTTAAACAAAAGCCAACATGATGATGTTACTCTATGTTGTGTTTTGCACTTCCCCTATGAAGCCAACATGAAAGATTGGTATTCTCCGTACATCGTCGTTATTATAGCGTGGCCTTGGTTGTCGTCGTCGGAAGAGGAGTTATCGCTTACTTGTTGAGCCATTTTTTTTATATAAATATGTAACTAGATTGTATATAGAATGTGTGGTGATTGTGTAAGGGTTGGGAAGTAGCATTATATAAGAAACTGATTTTTTTATATAATGCTACTCCCCAATTCTTACACAATCACCACACATGCTATATAATGTTGTATATGATTGTTATAGATAATCTTGGATGTCCTAGATTGAACATGAAAATCCAATTTAATTGATTATAGTTGGATAAGATGATGAAGATCTAGATAAGATGATGAAGATGGTAGTAAAATGATTAGATAAAAAATTTAATGGATGAGATCAATGGAAATCATATCCAAACAGTTGTAGTTCAACATTTCATATCTTTTCAGAATTTTTTATTTTTTAGATCGAAATGTTTTATAAAAAAAAGTAAAATGGTTTAAATAAAATTTAATTGTCCCGGACCTTAGTATGAGTATAATTTGAGCCCTAATCAACTACTATAATAATCGGTGACATCATTTAGAGAGCCCTCTATTGTGAAATTTTATTTTTTAGAGACTCTAAAATTCTATCTGGTCTCCAAAAGACCCAAATTTACTTATTCCATTGGAGACGCCTAAATGAGTATCCAAAACAAAATTTGAAGACCCAGATCTACTTACACCATTGAGCTTGTCTTGGATAAGAAGTTAAAGAAGAGAAAAAATAATAAGGAAAAAATAAAAGAAAAGAGCAAGTTTTAGAGAGAGATGACACCATTTTTAGAGAGAGATTCTGTTGTTTCAAATATTTAGAAACAGAAGCAGTTGGTTGTTTTTTAAGCCCCTTACTATTGAATCCCCAATATGCATCTGTATCAATATGATTGAAAAAGCTGGTCTCCATATGATTACATATACAATTCATCAATTTCATAATTAAATAAACTGCAAATGCAAAGAAGCTGATTATTCAAATTAAAGTTACAAGGAAAACAAAACAAAGCAAAAACAAAATAAAAATTGACCTATTCTTTCAGAAATCCAAGTCTCGATGACCATTCTTTTATACAAGGTAAGAAGACATGAGATTCCAACTAATTTTCATGTGTTTAGGCATCGGCACCACAAAACGGAGGATATCTGGTTTCGCACAAAGCTCAGGATCCACATTGTAGTTTCCTGACATGTGCTTATGGAGCTCGATAAACTTCTCGATATTCGGCAATACCATTTCTCTGCTATGCAAATGCAAAAGTGGAACTTTTGATAAGACACTGCCTTTCTGTACGTCCAAGCCCTCTGGCCTCCGCATTTTATAAGGTTCCCCGGTTGTTGGCTCAAAATCGAGTCTAGGCATTTGCTTCCATTTGCTGTGGACAAACCACCCGTATTTGTAGTCGCCTACTATCGGAGTACCTAGAGCTTCTGCACAATGAACTCGAAGCTGCACCAAAGATAAACCAAGTCAAATATATATATATATATATATAGGGGTGAAAGTCGGATGGATCGGATCGGAATTAGCCTTTTTTCGGAAAAATTCCAAAAAATTTTGGAAGTACAAAATTAATTCCAATTCCAATTCCAAAAGGCCCGGAATTTTCGGAATTTCGGAAAAAAATCGGAAATCACATGAGCTTAAAAATTTCAAAACTTGGCGATTTTTTTTTTAAAATGTTCATAATTTTCCAAAAATAAGAACATCCACGTCGATAAAAGTAAAACTAATAACTACTAAATTTCAGTTCAAAAAATAAATAAACATAAACACAACATAATCCTAAAACAAAACTTAAAGGTGTATTTTTCGGAAAAATGAGTATTATATAATATTTATTATTTTATAGGTGTATTTTTCGGAAAAACATCCGAATTTTTCGGAATTAATTTCGGAATCAAATTGGATCGGAAATCGGAAATTCCAAATTTATTTTATATAATTCCAATTCCAATCCAAAAAATCGGGAAAATTCGGAAATCGGAATTTCGGAAGTCAGGAATGAAAAAAGTTGTTCCAAAATGGGAACTTTTCGGATCGGAACCGGCGGAAAATTGGAATTTCTGTTCCAACATGCACCTCTATGTGTGTGTGTGTGTCTATATATATATATATATATATATATATATATATATATATATACATATACATAAATATTTGAGAGAGGAAAATCTCTCTCCAACAATGGTGTTACTAGCTACTCTCTAACCGTTTCAAGTTTAACTGATTTTTTTTTTTTTTTTGTTTTATAGTATCTGTTTAGAGTTCTAATGATGCATTTGTTACTTTTTTCTCTATTTTGCCCGGGAGAATTATTAGAGGATAAGATAATAAGAACGGGTATTTTAGTGCATTAAGTGCATTTTCCCAAAAATTCATGCATAGTTATTAGTTTCTTCATACTAGTACCGAAACCTTGACGATAATTAATATGAAATGGAGGGAGAAGCAATTTTCACAAATCTTAGCCAGCTGTGCACTGCTTTTTCGATAAGGATCGTTTAAAATATTTCCTATTGAGAATAGATAATTTACATCCATCAATTTTAGATAATATCATGATTACGCTTTGAATACAGAGTATTCAAATAACAAGATCCGTCTTAATACGACTAGTTCTTCCTATAAATTTGAAATTCCGATAATGCACAGTCGAAGTGTGGGACTTGGGAATATTTAATTTGGAGTTAATTGGAATGCATATAAAATCATAAATTTTACGAACCTGATGTTTACGCCTTGTAAGAGGATGCAATTCAATCCATGAGCAACCATTGATCATCGGGCCAAGCACACGATATCGAGTAATTGCCTCTTGGGAAGCTTCTAAGCCTGAATTATGAGATAGAATAAC